CCTGCCTATTAAGATGGAAACAGAAGGGCTTGTATAAAAATGGGTTAGCCATAACTGAGAAAACCCATCAAAATTGATACCCATTGTAAAACTCATATGATCAATTCTGGTTTTGCTATAAAAACAAAAAGAGTTGAATATTTGAATAGAAACATCGAGAGCAGATCCTAAAACCATCTAAATTTCATTTTTCATATATTTTATAGTCGATACAGTTTGGTTCAACAAGATAAAGACAATATTATTAAAAAAGCATGTAAAATATCTATTTAAGTATCAAATTTATCTTGAAAAGCTTAGCTAGAATACTTTGAGTTATTAGAATTTTATGTGATTATAGTCAAAATAATTGCTTCTAGCTAGAAAAAAAGTCCAATGAGTCCAGTTTTACTTAATTCTAAGTTTATTAAGGTATCGTGTACAACATGGTCGGAGAGGATCATATGCTCAGGCCTTTTGATCGAGTGTTTCAATATTGATTAGAAATAATTCAAATGCTTCCTCAAAAATTTTATAACTAGGTCATGATTTTACACAATGGGGGGGATTCTTGGGTGAAGAGAATTCTCAAACTTGCATAATTGCATAGCCCTGAGCTTCATTTAAAACACTCAACCGGTTGTCTTTAGATTTTCTTCTTCCAAACTTTGCTATATTTCTTCGTTACCTGATCTTCCCTACAGCTAAGGGGACCACCATGCCAACCTCCTCTAGCACTTAACTTCCAATAATGACATCTACAACCACCATTGATTGATGCTAGTGATGGTCACCACCCATCTTCTAATGGTCGATATTGCCCATCCATCATCGCCTATAATAGCAATGACAATCATTAATGCTTGACCTCCTGTGGCCCTCATCATTCTTCATCATTCATTCTTTGATATTGATGCACATCATCATTATTGGCCAATTCAAACATCTAAAGCTACCCACCATTAACATGTCAATGTCATCACTCTCCAACATTCTCCACTATCATCGCATGAGACAATCCCAACAGCTCAAGCTTTGTAATATCGTCTCATTTGACAACAAAGAATGATGTATCATTGTAATCATCTTCTTATATAATGAAATTATTTCAATTGGACTAGGTCGTATGATTTTTTATTTCTATATATTTTTATGTTAAAAATCTTGACTTTTGTGTATTAAGTTATTTATCTAAATGTAGAACAATTTCATACAGCACTTAAATAATAAATTCCTCATATCTACCACATGATATTCTAGCATGCACTATTTTGACATAATTTATGAGAAATATATAACCTTTTCATTTTGGGTTCTCTAAATACTTGTCCAATAGCTAAAACAAGCATAACACCCACAACAATGATGTTTTCCATTCAAACTTACATCACTCTAGGAATCAGTCCTTTAATACTAAAGACGTTGGGCCTTTGCTACTTTCCTTCAAGGAAAAAGCAACCATTTTGGAAGGCACCACTAATTCATCCCTAAAGGATTGTATTTGTAGGATGGAGGAGTTTCAAAATGAGATCTGTAAACAACAACAGATCAAAAATGAGAATTTAAACAAGTATCCCCTTAATTTTTTGTTCTATCAACTAATGAATTCAAAAATGTTTTTCCTTTATGGACAAAATCTTTGTTTTACATTAACATTTGACATGACATCAAAGTCAAAACATCATTGATTGTATGCATACCCAAGACGATCAAGTGGACACCCCCTCAAAATTGCGAATCTAATAATTATTTGTCAATTTTTTGAAATTTTGTAAGAAGGAAACCTCTTGGAACAAATTATAGGAACTTGTTGATTATTTTAGAATCTTCTAATTAGTTTTTAGCAATAATATTACATATGCTTGTTCCTTCACTTAGCATTGATCTCAAATTTAATAGCAAAATTCTCATTTTCTCTGTAAGTTTTCTAATTTCTCGCATCTTCCTTATTGTTTGAATTATGTTTCAATTAAATTGTATGTATATCCCAAACGTGATTGCAATTTTTAATTAAATCTTAGGCAACTATAATCAACGAGATCAACCCACCATAATTTTTTGCACAATTACCTTAAATCAATAAATATCATATGTAGATCCTCCTTATTTTCTCTTGGAACTTCTCATTTTCTTTATAAGTTTTCTAATTTCTCGCATCTTCCATAATGTTTGAATTATGTTTCAATTAAATTGTATGTATATCCCAAACGTGATTGCAATTTTTAATTAAATCTTAGGCAACTATAATCAACGAGATCAACCCACCATAATTTTTTGCACAATTACCTTCTTTCGTTATATATGAAATAAGAGCGTAAAGAAGGGGTTCTGCTATCGATAATGTAACTGTTAGAACTTCAAAAAATCATTGTGGCTTGTTTGTCTTGACAAAGGTTATGAAACTTTGAGACTTTTGGATAACCTTCTATGAAGATTTTGCTTTAAAAGTTCCATAGGTATAAATAAATAATAGTCCAAGGATCCATAATGGCAATCCAAGGATGCAATCAAGAGTTTCATTTGTGGAATTCCCGCATATGATATCTAAAATATAGTATCTTGATTGTTTCCTTCAACAATTTTACAAATTCAAGAAATTAAATTATAGAATGATTATAACATTATTTTTCTTATATTTGTCTAGAAATCATGTCTTTCATGTATTACAATTATCTTGCATAAATAATAGAAGTCTAGCCATCAAAATCATATAAACTACAAGAGGGATTAATGTCTCTATTATTTTCTCTTAGTTCTACTTTCATCTTATTCTTTTCAGAGCAAATTCTATTACAGATGCATGCAACCTCTCTATTATGTTCATGATGTTTCCAAAGAATTATGTCAATTCATATGTTACATTATTTACGTGATTCTCTTTGTTTGCTAGAATTTTAAGAAGCTTTATCCTAGAAGTTTTTTAACTATATTCCTATCATATAAGTAAAAGTTTTTATAGCTTCTCTCTATTACCCAAGAATAGCCATCTTCTTTTTTTTTTTCCTCCCATTGCATATTTTATGTGGTGCATATGATCAAGTTTTAATGCTAATTTATTTTTCAACTTCTTTTTGTTGGTCAAGATTCAAGATCTATGGATCTTTCAAGTGGTTTCAGCTATGATGTTCAGGCATTGAAGATCGTCATCAATGAGAAAAATATAGAAGAACAAGAGCAAATAGCTACCCATCTAAGCTATGTAAGAAAGAACTCATGATAAAAGTACTATAAATGAAACTAAAATACTTTATTGAATATTAGGTTTGGAAGCATTGGAAACAAGGGAAGGCATTGGAAGTCATTGATAAAAGTATTGGCAAGTGATACTCAGCACAAAGTTTTGAGAGCCATACATATAAGGTTATTATGAGTGCAAGCATAGTGGATATAGAGATTAAACATAGCTTTAATAATCGTGATCTTTGTGCTTCATACATGAAGCTTCCCATTCAATAAACATTGGCATATTCAAGTGGAAATGGCATCTCGATTGATTCAAAGGGAGTGTTGTTAGGAGCAAAAAAAATTATGTCTTGCCAGAGGGCCTATAGAGAACACAACCCTTGCTTGGCCTGGGGTGGAAAGGTTATATCTATTTGAGTTTTGAAATGATATAGGAATTTGAGTTTGTGATATCAATTTTCAAAGAATAGAACTTTAAAAGACTATAAAGAAATGAGGTAACTACTATCATACTTAGAAATCCATGTAGATAACAAGACAATAACTTTGGCAATAATGTAATATGTGCATTTGTTTATGTTATTTTATATTGATTAAAATAAATTTTGTAGAATCATAGATGGATCAAGACTTTTATACCTATAAAATTAATATATACTTAGTTTGGAAAATTATGAATGTTACGACAAATTTTAAGCCGAAGAAATTGGAATTTATAACCTTCACAATAATTTTGAAGATATTCACTCACTAAATTAATTATCACTCTCAAGTCAATATATTTATACCCTTAAAGCTTATTTCTCTAATATATTTTCTTCTCTCTTATTTCTATCTTAGACTTGATATTTTCTTCATGGTAAGATTTATAGTGTTATCTATGGATATATGAGGATGAAAGTACAAATATTATGTCTATGTTTTCCACTAAATTTAATGCATATAGTTATGATTGGTTTTATGTGATATACTAGTGCACTTAAATTATTGTGCTATAAACACTGCAATCCTGTGAATAAAATATTTTAATACTTTATCTAAAATATATATATATTTCTTCTATAAGTAGCTCAATATAATATTGTGGCAATATTAATTAAGTACACATTATTTGTATTGAGATTACTGCAATATAAATCCTTCACATAAAACAAAAATCTCAGAACAAATTAAATAACTTTTTATTTAATATAATTTATATCAAGATACCCTAACATAACTTATTTTCACAAAAAAATTGTTGAGAGTATTGAAGTCAAATCCCCTCTTCTTACTCAACTGAGAAATAATAAATCTGGCACATGCATACTCAAGTATGGAATCCAAAATTTCTTGATTAGATAAAAGAGAGATCTACATACATACCATCATATACTATTCTATTTACATATTTAATAAGTAAAACTTTAATATTACATGCATACCATTCATAGTTCATTTTTATATCAAATATAAGTGGTAGGAAGGAAATATGAGTGGCATATTTGATATTAAAATAATATATGGTGATATATATGTAATACTAAAGTTTTGGGTATTAGATATGTAAATAGAATTGTATAAAGTGGTATGTATGTAAATTTCCCTAGATAAAAAGCCCTCATCCAACGAGCCAATTTAAAAACATCGAATTGTAACTTACAACCACCCACATCCACCGTGACAAACAAACCAAAAGGCTATTTGGAGTATGTAAATTTTGCCGACAGCATAATCCAAACTATTAAGGCTGCGTTTGAGACAATTTTTTTTCTTGCTTTCTAAAGCAATTTTTCAGTACACAAATTTTATGAATTTAAAATTTGTGTACTAAAAACCTATTTTAAAAAAAGTTATTCCAAATAAAGTCTAAGTTAATTATCATTGTACACTTCACCAATCATATCAAGCAAACTTGTTGAATATAACTAGTTTATTAAATAGAATTATTAAAAAAACTCATAAGCTAACATGAAAGAAAGATAACGTGTTATTGATCTCTTTATGCCAACAGCGATATCTGCTTGTCAAAGAGGAAATTAGAAATCATCCCTCCATTGACGTTCTCATCCCTACTCCATCTCATTGCCTTTTATCAATCATTCCGAACACATCAAAAAGCAAAAGCTGTTATTGCGAATATATATCAGACATCATGCATGTCATAATATCTGAAAACATAACTAAAATATATCAGACACAGCAGCATTTTTAAAAAATAATATAAACGGTGCAAATACTTTCAATTAAAGCCTACATAAAATATAACGATTTTTGTTTTAGCTTGTTAAATTTCAGCCAAATAGAGTATTAGGAAGGAGACAGAAATTGGAGCATTACCTGCATATCTCCTGCACATCTGATGAAGACTTTGGCTGTTCTTAGCGCTCTAGCCTTCACCATGTTCTTTCCCACTTTATGCCAGCGGAACAGCAAGCTTACGATTCTCAGGAATTGCGTCCAGCGAAGGCTTCCTCATCTTCGTCGATGCTCGGCCTTTCCTTTTTCTTTACCTCCATTTTTGATGTAGCGAATCAGCGGAAGAATTGGATCTACTACAAGAAATACCAAAGAGGAAACCAAATAACAAGTTTAAAGCTTCAAAATGGATATAATATTGTTCATCTCTCTCTACTACAATACTAGCATATATAAACTAGCCATAGGACATTCTATACTTTTTATGTAACAAACATGTAACAACTAAATAGCTATTCCTAATGAGAACTTAACTAATATGTTCCACATCATACCCCCTTGCGTCAAAAGAGCCCAACTCCATCGAGACACATTATCAAAAGGGAGGTAGATATAGACATCAAAATCAAATCCCTGTGTCAAAAATTCTGCGTCTTTGATGCACGTCCACAAGCTCGATCAATAGCCTTATGAGTTCCTTTGGACTTCCACAAATTTGCATATTTTCAACAATAGAAATAACAACATATTTGACCATTGAAATGAATTCTTTGTCCTAACTAGAATCGCATAATAAGCTCCTAATTCCATCCACAAACTTTAGTACAATTGGAGGCAAATGGTTACTGCTGAACTCACCAATCAAAGCATTTCATAAGAAAAGATTCTTCTCAGTCAATTCATCAAATAGCTTGCAAGCTCACAAACTCCGACATCCCCACGCTCGCTCGCAACCTCTAGCTTTCCTTGCACTTGCTCACAGCATCAAGCTCTCTCATGCTTTCCATGTCTTAGAACCCGACCAGCACAAAATTTTAGATTGATTTTGCTCTGAACCAAGAAAAAAGATTTCCTAAATTTATTTTTCAAACAACTAAGCAATTCTGAGAATTCTAAATATATTCTATTAAACTTACACTGCATTTAAAATAAATCTAGATTCTAAACATTTCTACATTCTAAACATTTACAACCAAACAGCCCCTTAAGCAAAAGATAGCTCCAAGAAATCATAAACCAAAATCTGAAACTGAATCAGCTTTATTCTATCAATTTTAATTTATAGATTATAATGCAACGGCAATGTATTTACCTACACAGCCAAACAAGACAAAGGCATTCTGATGCTCTTTTTTGAGTAACCATTTGCTCGGGAGATCTCCACAAGTTTCCTAGCCTCCTCAACTTTGAAATTCTTAGCCAACCCGTCCACCACCCTCTGCAAAATCTCTGAACCAGGAGAACACCTGCGGCTCAGGCTCTCCTTACTCACCTTAAGAGCCAAGTCAAGCTCCCCTGCCTCAGAAAGACTCGGAATTAGCACCAGAAAGGTCTCTTTATTAGGAGCGCAGCCATTATTTATAAGATTCATATAAACCAGCTTAGCCTGCTCCAAGTTCCCATCTTGACAATACGCCTTTATCAAAGCATTGAACGTGAAAATATCCGCCTTTAACCCTGACTGATTTATCTTATCCAAAATCGCTACAGCCTCCAAAGTCTTTCCAACTGATACAAGACCCCTCATCTTCGCATTGAAACACTTTATATCAGGTTGGATGTTCTCCCTAGCCATCCTATTCCAAATATTCTCAGCATCGGAGAAGCGCTTGCTTTCATAAAGCCCTTTCAGCAGAATATTGAAGGAAATCAAATCAGAAGAAATGCCATTCTTCTCCATGAGAACGAGGGAGTCTAGGGCTGCATCAAGATCCCCCTTTTCACAGAGGGCTTTAATCAAAATGTTATAGGAAATGAGATTGGGGGTGATGGAGGTATCGCCAGCTGGAACGTCGCGGAAGGTAGTGACAACACGACTGTAGTCTCCAGCGTCGACGAAGGCCGTGAGGACGGCATTGAAGGACAAGACCGAACGAGGTGAACCGAAGGAAGGAAGCTGATCGAAGGTATCCGCGGCGTTGGTGGCCATGCCAGCCTTTCCATATAGGGAAATAAGGCGAACGCCGAAGCCCTCGCGAGTAAGATCAGCAGCGAAGCGCTTCTGATGCTCGAGTATGGATTCAACGGCGTCAAGGCGGCCAGCAGCAGCGAGTCGGCGGACAGTGAACTCGTAGATATTATGGCGGCAGCGGAAGCGGTAGGACTCCGAAGCGAGCTTGAAGCCGACGACAAGCTTATCGAGGTCTCTTTCTTTGAAAAGCTTGTTGATGGTGGCGCTCAAGGGTTTGGTGTATGCTCTAGATTGGATGTTATGGTCAGGATTCGTGTTTGAGCAGGTGGAGAATTTGCGGCCAGAGAGACGGAGAATGCGCCGGAATTGGAGAAGTTGAGACATCATTCCTCGTCCACCGGCGTATGACATGCGGCAGCGCGTCTGAGGCCTTCTCCAACCGAACTCAAAGGCATGAATGGCCTCGCTTTCGAGCTCCAGCCGGTTAAACCCTAAAACAAAACTTCCTGTTATTTTGGTCGCGGGTGAACAATGTCCACTTCAATATTTGCTTTTAACTTTATCAGATTTGTCAAAGAAATGCTTCAAAGACAACGATTATACAAAATAGAATTTGATTGAAGATGAATCACTAAAATTTAAATCATGAAATTTTAAAATTAAAATCTTATATATATGCGCTTTAATTTATAATTAGGGGTGTCAATTTCGGGTCACGGGTCAGATTCGGGTCAAACTAACCCTGCACTATTTGGGTCAACCCAAACCCGACCCATTTTTTTGCAAACGAGTCAGTTTTTCAGACCCGAATACGACCCGTCCTGATCCGAATGACCCGATGCCAACAAAAAACTTCTAGTTTTCATGTCAATATCTGCTTTTCGGGTCAAAACGGGTAAAAATGTGTCAATCTCGGGTTGTCGGATCAATTTCGGGTCAAAGGGTCAACCCAAACCCGACCTGTTTCGGGTCAACCCAAACCCGAAATTTTCGGGCCGGGTCCGATATTGACACCCCTATTTATCATAATTGATTTAAATATTCTTAAAAAATTTTAAATTAGAATAATTAATTGAATTATAATTTTTAAGTTTAATTTTATAAATTTTAGATGGCCTGCTAAATTATTTTGAAGGTGAAAAGTTATTCCAATTCACATAGCTATCAAAATAACAAGATATACAAGAACTATAATCTATAAGAAAAATAATACAAAATTAATATAGATAATGAAGATTGAGAGGTTTTCTAAATATTGTTATTATTTTGTACTTAAATCTATGAATTTTACATATTTTGTATATTTTTATTAATATTTTTTAAATAATCTTACAAACAAGCTAAGTTAATGCTAGTATAAATTTAAGGTTTGAGTATAAATAAGTCAACCAGACTCATGAGTCCATAAGCTCAACTAGATAAATGACTAATAGCTAATCCCGGCGGGAAGAAAAGAAAATTATATATATACACACTAGTAATACTCAAATATATCAAACATTTTTGTTATAATGTATGTAATTTTATTAGAAACTTCAAACATTGCACTAAGGACAAAAATTGTAAAGTTTAAAAGAATATGAGATGGCTTAAATAAAAACATAAAATATCTCATATAGTATAGATGGTTTCACATATTTTGATATCGAAATTATCTTTCAATAAAATGTATGATTCGTTGATGAAATAAATGGAAGCTAATTATATTATGATATCCCATATCTAAAGAAGTTAATATGAAAGAGTGTGGGGAGTGATTATTAGGGTAGAGACAGATGCATTTAGGATGATGAGAAAAATAGGGTGGGAGTATACTAAAAGTTAGGGTTTAGTATATGATTGAATTTGATAAGCATATCAATGATTATTAAAGTACAGCATTTTTAAACAATTTCTCCACATGTGATGCACAACAAAAACTATTTCGATTGAGAAAAACATCATGAAGAAAGCTCAAACATCAAGAGAAGTGCATTAGAGGTGAAGACGTGATTCAAGATTTTTCCATTTAGTTGAGTCATTAGAGATAATATGATGTGTACTTGCACGGTAAGCACGTCCATTCATCTTGTAATGCAAGCACCAATCTTATCATTTGTGCACACTCTTTGACTTCAAATATAGGTTGAGGACGGTCGCTAACATGGAGAATGAGAAGCTTGCCCCAACGTATTTTGGCCGATATGAGATTTTGGAGACGATTGGAGCGGTAGCATATCGTTTGAGACTACCCCCAATGACGACTATACATCCAATGTTCATGTATCACAGCTGAGGAGAGCACTCGGAGATCAGGCAGCTAATTCTGAGCTACCGGAGACGCTGACAGAAGACTTGGAGGTGATATTAGAACCACTGGAGTTGATGGGGGTTCGTCAGGAAGGAGAGGGGATTAAGGAGGTTCTGATTAAATGAAAGGGGCTATCGAACTACGAAGACACGTGAGAGCCTTATGAGAGAGAGAGAGAGAAAGAGGCGTCGATTCCCATCTTTACACCTTAAGGACAATGTGGTTCTTTGGAAGCGGGGTATTGATATAAACATATCGGTCCAACCGACTCAACCCTTAGGCTGACCAGCTTATTACAGCAGGCTCAAGCCAGTTGTTGCCAACGGCCTCAAATCAAAGTTCAACCCCTATTAGGGTGGGGTCCACTTCCTAAAGGATTTTGAAGAAGGGTTGTTTAGTCCTTTTGCATTATTTTATTATTTGCTTTATGTAGAAGTTTGAATTAGGATTAGGGCATCTTTTTGGTGGCTGATTCCTGTTTTGGTGCTTGACATTCTTGGGCTCTAGCGGCATCTAGAGAATTGAGAGAGATAGAAGCTCCTTTCGAATAGAAAATCAATTGTATCATGCTATTTTCATATTCCTTCCACCCAATAATACAAAAATATATACTTTTTTTTCTTGGAATTTGGTGTAGTTTTCTTATTGATTTCCCAAAATTGATACATAAGGCTTGAAATCTAGAAGCGTTTCCTATCTCACTTTCATATTAAATTTGCATGAGAGAAAAAAACTATATTCCACTAGCTAACATTCCTAAGAGCCACAAACTCATGAATCAAGTAATACCAACCGAACCATCAGCTCTAATATTGTTTTTAAAGAGCGTGGAACATTGAGCGTTCAATTTGAGGTTTGAGCACAATGGTTATGGATGCATGCACATCAATACGCAAGTGCCACTACTAGCAAATTGAAGGAAAATTTATTCTGTGCGGAAGTAAAACCCCGTCCGGATACTTAAGCTCGCGGCTTGGTACCGCTTGGTACGACATTATCGCCATTCGTTATAACGGCTTGGTATCGCTAACGTGACTCATTCTAGTTGATATTCGGATGTAGATTTGCGTTCGGTGTCAGCGCAAAAATATCTCTATATATGAAGAGCTCAACTCTTATTTTAATTTAAGATTGAGATTATTCAAACTATATTGTGCATCTCAACACAATATCTAGAAATGAAAAAGGGAATTAGCCGAGGCATCATAGATAGCTGGAAATGTTGTTATCTTACCGTTAATATGTAATCAATTCGTAATTAAAGATGAACAGGGATTTAATGTATAAGCTAAGCATCTTATTTTTAAATAGTGTCACTAAATTCCATACCATAACAAAATCAAGCCACATTTATTTTAGACACAGCTTCCCCAAATACCACCTTCCTCAAAGAACTATTAGCTACATATTCAAGCAAGATCTGAATAAATCCAAAACTCCGAAGCTGCCACAACCAAATGAATTATGATTCTTTTCCTCAAACACTTGGCCAGAAACAACATTTCTCCTTATAAAAGGCTCCAGAAGGTCCTAATATGCCTCCACGAACTCTTCAGCTTATGTGCCTTTGATCTGCACATCTTCACGTCTCTCAACCACATTTTTCTCAACACAAAACCTTCCACTTCCACCCATGGCTCACTATATATTCCTTTACTTGATTACTTGCAGTCTGTTTATGCATCTTGCCATGGCTCGACAATACCCCATGACTTTTGAGCTTACAGCAAATATTCAGCTTCGTGAGCCTTTCATGGCTAATCCACCTTCGAGTATTCTGGCAGCCATGGAGCCTCAAATAATGGCAGCTGCACCAGTTTTTTCCACCCATCCCAAGCACCGCTCGTTTGACAAATCGATGGCAGGTGGAGAGGTGATCATTGGTGGTCTTGCCACTGCTATCTTTTTTGTGGTCTTTTGCTATATTAGGATCACTAGGAAGAGAGGGGAGGATGGCAAGTTATAAGCTTGTTATTTGACTACTAGTTGTTTCTGGTTGTAAACTTGGGGAGTTCCCCGTTTGTATTCTTTTATATATATTTTTTTTATTTTTTTTTTTGTTCCCAGTTTGTATTCTAGTGTTGAATATGCTTGATAGTATGTACCATTACCATCCTTGTTATACTATTCTTTCTACCATTTTGTGCAAGAGTGCATGACCTTGAGGGCATCTCCAACCGAAAATCACATTTTTTACTCCAAAATGCATTTTTCACTCCAAAATGCGGTGTAACAAAAAATGGTGTGATACATCTACAATTCAACTCCATTTTGCACCCAGGTAACCGTCTTTCTCCTTCGCGCGTTTCTTCAGCAAATCTGGTAGACACCAAAAAATAATGCATGTGAACAGTGTAACGCCAATACTGACGTCGCACTGTTCACCCGCAACCAAAACCAGAAGTTTTGCCGTTTGGCTGGAGCTTGCGAGTGACGTTATTCATGTGTTTGGAGTTTGGCTGGAGAAGGCCTGATGGCCTCAATTTGCTGTCTTTTGCCCTGCAGCATTGTGTTGGCTTTCTATTCCACAACACGATTTTGACACAAGTAAAATTAGAATAATAATTGAAGTTATATATCCATAATACAACTACCAACCATTACTCCAGTGGAACTGACTAAAGGGGAATCCTAAGAAAATTTAACTAATTTATATATCTTTATTAAAAAAATTCTGACATCATCAGAAACTAGTGGCTAGCAAGACCTCCATTAATTGCCCAAATCTCAAAATTGCAAGCCACACATGAAGCATTTTACCACTTCGAACACGCCATGTGCGAATTCAAAGCTTGCGAGGCAAGCTGTGATGGTGAGGTGGACCGAGAGGCTATTTAATCAAGTGAACACGGATTAGCAAATTAACGAATGGGATTGCTAAGATTATTAGGCGTCTAGCTGTTTTATGAAAGCTGGTGTTCGCTCAAGATCAACAGCTCAGCTGCTTTAATGGCAGGATTATGTAACCTTAATGGCAGCTCGCTGGCTGAACGGTTGAAAAGCTTTCTCACCAAAAGAAACTAAGATTTTGTTTGGGACAGCTTTTTTACTGCTTCTTAAAGCAATTTTCTAGTACAAAATTTTATTTTTTATGCTAAAAATCTACTTCAAAAAACAATAAAAAAACCGTTCCAAACGAAGCCTAAATCTTGGAATAAAAACTAAATTTATAATGTAAGTCCAAAATGGCAATTTGAAGAAAGCAGGCGAAGGGTCCGATTGACCAGACAAATGCAGAGACGCGTAAGTATATATTATCTAAAATAAAAGATGTCTTATTTTGTTGATCTTCCTCCCGTTTTAATCCCTCATTGATCACAATAAAAGCTTTTGAAACAGGTCTTCCTAAAGCCTCCAATGTTTGCTACTTTGCTGACCTTTTTTGTATTTCTCAATGTTTTATTTTATTTCCCCAATCACAAAAATATACTCCAAAAAGTAGCACAATCATGTCGATGAAATATTTCTTCGCAATTGCATGAAATGGGAGTAGAGTTTACTGCATGTGCAAGATAAGTTGTCAGTTTACTCTCGCCATTTTTCTGGCATGAAGGAACTTTAATAAAGAAAATGAAGTAATGAACTGCTACAGATAAAACTAGTTACCATAAATTACAAAGGAACTACATTTTTAGAAAAAAGAACAAATGCTTTAATTTTCCATACAACGATATCAAGACTGTCCCACTATGTGGAGTCAGCTAAATAAATTCTTTCTCTCCATTGTGTCCTGTTAAAAGTCAAATTTTCATTTATATCTAATAAAGAAAGATCATTTCTAAAATTTTCTAACCAAGTCTTTATAGATTTATCTCTACCTTTCTTAACATAAGTCAAATCTAAAACCTTACTTTCCTAGGTCATCGAAAAGGCTGCCATTTTATGTGACCAAATGACTCTTTCTAATCTTATCTTCCACTAGAGCTACTCCAACTTTTCACGTATATGCTCAATTCATATCTTATCTTTAAAGGTAAAACCACTCATCGACCTAAGCATCCTTATCTCTACAAGACTTAACTTAGTATTATGCTTCTCTTTTAATGGACAACATTCTGCACCAAAAAGCATTGCAATTCTCACCACCATCTTATAAAATTTTCACTTAAATTTGAGGGGGATTTTTCTATCACACAGCAAGCCCCGAAGCATTATTCCTCCATTTCAACCTGCAACTTGAATCCTCTAATTTTCCATCTAAAGGAATAAAATAAAATATGAGATAGAGTTCAAGTCTTATGATCCCTTAGTGATGGCTGCAACTTTATTTTTATAAAATTGCAATAGAGAAAATTTTTTTAAAAAATTAATATAGAAAACAACTTTCTAATACAGTTTTTTTAAAGCAGCAAAACCACAATGGCCTTTCTTTTTTTTTTCAAAGGGTTTGACTTGGTCAAATACAATGACCAAATATGGCCAAATATAAATTTTGATTTCAATCTAAAAAGTAAAACAATTAAAAAATATTCCAAACGAAGTTTTAATTTTAGCTCAAAATCAACAGTAAAAACTTATTTTACGCAGTTTCGGCTTAATAGACTGGTAACAAGACGATCTTCAACTTGATTGAACTGTTGATTGAGAAAAATGGAATATTCAATTTATGTAATTGATTTCAAATGTCCATAATGTTTGAATATCGCACCCAATTTCATCGAACAAAAAAAAAGGCAGTGACAATTGTAATGAGCTTTAGTATGTCTAGCTTTACTAAGAATATCCAGTCCTTTCACAACATCACGAAATACAGCGAAATTCTAAGCTTATCATTTCTTACAAAACAATCAATACATAATACGAACTTCATGCAAAGTGAGGAAGATTACAAAAATCACAATTCCAATGCAAATTAATGGCAACCACAAAACGTTCAGTCAAGTGGTATGTAATGCTATACAATGTAACAGCACAAATGTTACAGACCTGAGAAATTTAGAATTTTGTGGTCAATTCAAGAAACGGTACTTTTCCAGAAAAAATATAAGGCTATCATATCAAGTTCAACAGAACCTGGGATAAGCCGGTAAGATCAAGACAAAGCCATCCACAAGTGATTCGCAACTCATTATGCAGGTTACTCAGGGCTCTTGCTTCAGTGTTATGTTAATGATTTCTATGATGGACTTTGGCTGATACTGCTCATCTGTATCGACTTCCTCAATTTCCTGAAATGATAGAAGATTTTCATGATAAATTTGAACAACACAAAAGTAGTATGACAATTCTTTTTAGTTGTCAATGACCCAGGGCAGGACTCTCAAAAAAATTCGTTGTTCATGAACAACTAGTGTTTGACTTGCAGAAGAGATCATGTTGTACACGTTGGTTAAGCGAGCGAGACCGGAACACTAATATATTACTGGAGGTCAAACTATAAATTAGTCAAGCACAAATAACCTTTTGTTCGATCGGCTGTTTTTGACTTGAAATAATTAAACATTATTTTTATTTTTATTAAACAAATAACTAGACTTGTTTAGTTGAGACCTAAGGGCCGAAGTTTGGATTAGTCCACAATGCAGTGTGTGGAGGTGTGGCTTTCAATGTAGCTATATCAACTATTGGATTAAATCCAATTGCCCCAAAAGTTCAGGGCCCCTTTCTCTTTCAACCTTTTGATTCTGAGACTTCTAATTCTCAATCTCTCGCACCGGCCTCCAGACCCCAACATTCTCCTCAATCCTATCACCTCTCTTTCTCAATTTCCCCTCACCTTCATCTCTTGTAAGTTATTTGACTCGTTTCTTTCTCCCCCTCATATACTGGAGAAATTATTCTTTGCAGAGATCGAACGCAGAACGCTGTCCGGAGACCAACCAGAATGTGTCACGTCAGCAATACCGAGCCGCGGTACCGAGTGGTAACGAGCCGTGGTACCGAGCGAAGGGGTGATGTGGCGCATTCTGATTAATCTCCAGAGGATGTTCGGCGTATTCCGCACAGAATAATTAATCTATGCACTGGCTCTCAACTCTTTTTATTTGTGCATATTTTAGAAGCCCTAGCCATGCAAGCCCCTTATGCATTGTTTAGGTATTGAAGAAATTGTTTAGGGCTTCTTCTCGTGGTGAATTATTTAGCAAGCAATAGCTGGATGTTTTTGTGGACAAAGAATTCAATAGATTACTTTGTTCAAAATCTTAAGCTCTCTCTTCTTGCTTCTATGATATAACCCAGCAATAGGCTGATGTTAAGCTAGGATTTTTACTTAACTTATTTATTTGAATATTATGCAATCTAGGTTCTAAAACAAGTAGGAGAACACTAGAAATGCAATTGAAAGCCCTCTCTTTCAATATACCATAAACATACACAAATATTGGAAACTAAGTAGGAAACAAAACTTTAAAAATTGATAAGGCACCAAAATAACCAAAAAAATAACCAAACTAAATTAAAATACCCTCAGAGCAACCTTGTAAGGTCATCTCACATGCAAATCACGAAAATAGAGAATGATGCTAAAAAAAATAAAAAATCAAATCAGTGGTTCGCCACAAAAATTATTCTCCAGCTCAAGTTGGCGATCCTCTGGTAAATACCAACAAATGATGCACAACAACACCTTACACTCACAATATTTGGAGAAGAAAGATACAAGTGGAAGGGAAATCGTGGAGAGAAGATTAGATAGAAGATTGAGATAAAATAGAAGAAGGAAGATAGAAGAAGATAGCTCGTAAGCTAAATAACCTACATGTTTTAGTGTGATTACACCAACAGCAATAACAACCAACCCCCTCCAGCAGCAAAATAGCCCATACATATAGGAGAAGGTGGAAATGGCTTATGCCATCCAAAAAACCAATAAAAGCCTCTCAAGTTAACCCTTTTTATAAGGAGTTAACGCACTTAGTATAAGAAAACAGTAAAATGTAAATCGAACAACCAGCAGCAAGGAAAAATGGGACAGCAACATTGGGAAAACAACTAGCATATGGAAAGCAAGCAGCAGAGAAAACAGGACAGCAACATGGGAAAAAACAGCCAGCATATGTAAAGAGTTGGGCCAAGCTCAAAATAAATATCCAACTAACCACCAAAGAAGATAGATCAACAAAAGTGGAAACCAGAGTGAAACTTTTTAGAACACCAAATCCAAGCATGATCATGGGTTGTTTTTCATCATAGGGCCATACAAATAAACTTACATAACATCCAAAAATATAAGGAAAAATAAAATAAAATAAAATATATAAAATGATAAACATGGTTGCATCAGAATACATTCAAGATTTTTTGGGGCTTCTTGTGGTGAAAGTACTTAGTAGTTGGTTGCATGAATGTTTTTCTGGATTCAGGTACTGCTCTATAGAAAGTATTTCCTACATTCAAGAAGGCCTAGCTGCTTGTTCCTGGGGTGAAAGAAGTCAATAGATTATTTTTTAAAGTATTTAGATATATCTTATTGATGACCTATTCTAGCAGTATGCTAATGTTTAGTTAGGGTTTTTGTTTTTTATTTTTGTGAACATATTCAAGATTTTTTTAGGCTTTTTCTTGTGTTTTTCTTGTATTGAAAATGTTCAGCGTGGTTAAATGTTATATTTGGCTATTCTGTAAGGCTTGGTCAGTCAGTTATGTCTTATCCCGATTGTATGTTAATATTTTGTTTAGGTATTGCTCAGTTATACCTTTGTAGAACACTGTTCAAATATTGATGAAGTTGAGATATACTGCTAAGCTATTCCTATAATGTTGGTTTTATGTGTATGCTTGATCAAATCGTTTTACCTCATATTTTGTTTTTATTTTTTATTTTTTTTTTAGTGCATTGTCATGACAACATTGTATTTATCTCAAATTGCATTATCTGGCAATCCATTTCCTTTAAAAGTTGAAAACAATAATGAAAATCTTAATAATGATTTGGAACAATGAAAATATAGAATGCTAAGACTAAGGATCTATTTGGGATGGATGCAATATTTTATAAAGATGGTTGTGAAGTTGTTGTGTGGAAAAAAATTTTAAAAAATTATTATGGATATTATAACTATGGACTTTTTGAAAAAATTAAACAGCTGTTTTTTTAGGCTATCACGTATTAGCAACTCTAATTGTAAAAAGCAATATACCATCATAAAAATTTCTAGAAAGTAGCAAGAATGTAGTAGCCAAATGAAACAGTTGTTGTAATCTGAAAAGCAACACAGTGAGAAAGGAGTGGACCATAACAATAAAGATAGACTACAAAGGTTAGGAAGGGAAAGTCCTTGAAATGTTTTTTTTTTTTTTTTCTTTTAAATGTCATTGAAGCTACATCAACATTTGAAGGAGTTGTAACTCCTTGGAAATTGCATCTATTGTGAAACTAAATTTCTTAATCTTAAACAGGCACTATTTCAAAACTCCTTGGACACATAAAAAGAATGTGAAAAAACTAAAGCTAAGGGTAAACAAGTATTGATTTATCCAAAAATTGTAAAAAATATTGATTTTTTTACCTTCTAAGGCTGATATAGGTATTGGGATACAATTATTTCATTACCCAAAAAATTATGATCAATTACAACAACAGCAGCAGCAGCAAGCCTTTATGAAGGGTCAGCTACATGAATCCGTTTTCTCCATTATGCCCAGTTAAGAGTAAATTCTCATCTAAATCTAACAAGGAAATGTCATTTCTAATATTTTCTAACCAAGTCTTCTTAGGCCTACCTCTACCTTTCTAAACATAAGCCAAATCTATACATCTACTCTCTTAACCGAGTCATCAGAAGGCCACCGTTTTATGTGACCAAACCATCTAAGGCGGCTCACTTTAATCTTATCTGCCATTGGAGCTACTCCAACCTTTTCATGTATATGCTCGTTTCATATCCTGTCTCTAAGAGTAAAGTCACTCATCCACCTAAACATCCTCATTTCTACAACACTTAATTTAATATCATGTTTCTCTTTTAATGGCCAACATTTTGTGCCATAAAGCATTGCAGGTCTCACCACCATCTTATAGAATTTTCCCTTAAGTTTGAGGTGTACTTTTCTATCACACAACAAGCCCTATGCATTCCACTTCAATCATCCAACTTAAATTCTACTAATAATATCCCTATCTATTTCACCATCACCCTAGACAATACACCCAAGATATATAAAAAGTGTACTCTTATTAATGCCTCGATCGTAGAGGTTGTCAAAAATAGGTTACAGGTTGGGTTCGGGCCGAACTCAATATTGACCCGTTGTTGTTTGACACAAGCCGAACCCAACCCGTTTTTTGCAAACGGGTCAAAAATTCTAAACCGGACCCGACATGCCAGGTTATCAAGTTAACTTGACCCGATTAGTGGGACGTGGGGTATAGGTGCAGGCGGGAGTCAAGAAACTACGCAGGGATCGCACGCAAGCGGTACACAGTTTGGAGCGGGGTCGCGGTTTGATGCAGGGTCGCACGCAGGCAGTCCGATGATGCTGGCGGGTCACTTCCAGGTCATTTTAGGGTTAGCGGTGTGACCCAGACACGACCTAATTTTTAAACGGGTCAAAAATTGGAACTCGAACACGACTCATTTGCTAAATGGGTTGACCCAAAATCGAATTTTTCGGGTCAATTTCGGGTAGGGTTTTCGGGTCGTGTCAAATATTGACATCCTACCTAGTTGCTCAAAGTCACAATCCCCCAGTAGATCTATTACTACTAAAATTATACTCCATGTATTCTGTTTTAGATCTACTCAAACGAAAATCTTTAGGCTCTAAGGTTGACCTCCATAATTCAAGTTTAAATTCAAGTCCAGCTCTAGTCTTATTAACAAGAATATCATCCGCAACAAGCATACACCAAGGTACATCCTCTCGCAAATGTCTAGTAAGTACATCCATGACTAAAGCAAGAAGATATGAGCTTAAGGATGATCATTGTACATGATCACTTTTATAATTGTTGACCATATGTGGTTCAATGTACAATTAAAGTCTTTAAACCAAGTTATGAGAGTCTCTAGAAACATAACTAGAAATGATTGCATTAGTAGCACATACATATGTGAAGCTATATGTAAGTACTTGTTGTAGTGAAATTTTTAAGAGAGAGAATCCACTATCACCTAGATAACACTAGAAGTAATGATGTTACAGCAAGCTCTCTTAAAGTTTAATTTTTAGGCCTCGTTTGGGACGGATTTTTCCCTGCTGTGCTTCACCGAACGTAACCAAGAGGTCGTTTGGGGTTAAGCGGTGGTGCTCCGTTTTAAAAATTTCTGCGTCCTGCGGTTGCTTTTCCAATCCAAAAGAACGTCCCTGCTTTCGGGTGCTTTTCGCGTGCTTCCCGCTGTTTGGAAGTATAAGAAATACGTCAATACCCTTACAGTTCCCATCTTCCTCATCTGGCGAACTTCCGCGACCATTTCTTCCTCGTTGTAGCACGACGCGGGATGGCGGCGCCGAACATCGAATCAATAGCCGCTTCGCTGAGGAACTACTCGCATAACAGCAGAAGAGGAGCAGCATCGCCGGCGGCGGCGGCGGAGAGCAAAGAGGTAACGGTGGAGCTCAACTCCGGTAAAGCTTCACTCTGTTTTTTTTTTTTTTTTTCTTTCTTTTCTTTATTTGGGCACTTGCTTAGAACTAGAATATGCATCCTGCATAATTAAGTTAATTGGAAATTCGGATCATCATCATCAAGAGACTTTTTCCAACTATTTGGGGTTCCGCAAGAAGTAACTCTGATAATAATAAAAAACGGTAGTTATACGGATTCCTTTCTCGTTGAAGTTAATTCTAATTGAAATTTTATTCATTTATTTGTTGGAAGATGCCACAAGTACTAAGCATGGTTTGGTTATTTTTTAAACAAACTCTGTTCTTGCAAATTTCTCTCAGGTGGAAGCGTTTCCCAATCACTGGAAGCAATGCCTTGACATGAAGGTTCGTTACCTACTCACACCAATTCACCATATCTATTTCTTCTTCTTCTTTACTCTCTCAAAGTGTTTTTAGTATTTTTTAATCTCTCCTCTTTAAAAGCTTTGTTCTTCTCTTAAACCAGTGTGATCGTAACCCAAAAGCTTTCTTCTATTTCGATCTTTGTTATTTTTTTTGCTCTTTAAATATTAATCTTTATCTTCCTATTTCCTCTTTCGACATTGAAAGATTATTCTTTTATGATCAAATTGTAATTTATTAACGGATTAATCACCCGGCCATCATTTTTTGCTCTTAAGCTTATCTTATAATGATTGCTCTGTTTTTTTTTTCTTTTTTCTTTCAGACCGGGAAGCTATTCTATGTGAACGGGAAGAGCGGCGAGAGGAAAACAGAGGTTCCTCGGATTGCAGCCTCCGGTCTTCAGGCGAGCTATAATTCGTCAGAAGAGTACAACTCCGATGATGCCGGAGGCGGCGAAGATGAAGAAGACAATGACGGTGACATTGAAGACTGCAGCTCGCTTGCCGGCGATGGAACTGACTATGAGGATTTTTTCGGTGTTAGCAGCAGAAACTCTCACAATTCATCCTCCGATGACTCCATTGCCGGCGACGGTAATGGTGGCGCGGGGAGTCTAATCCTCGTCGTCGCCGGCTGCAAGTCTTGCTTCATGTACTTCATTGTTCCGAAACGTGTCGATGAGTGTCCTAAGTGCGGCGGCTGTCTCCTCCACTTGGACTCTTAATTTTTTTTTTAATTTTAACAAATTATTTTGAAGTATGATAAAGACAATGTCAATAAAAATTTATAGTATTTTTTATATAAAAACTTATAAATATATATAAACTTATAAAATATTTGATATATAAACTTATAAAATTTTTGATAAAATAATTTGATTTTAATTCAGAAGTGTTAGTTTGTTAAGATAAAATTTTGAAAAGAATTTATATTTAAATAAAATTTATTTATCTAAATACATATGAGGGTATAAAGGTAACTTCTTCATATATAGCTGCAGCACAGCAACTTGACAGTTATACTGTCCAAACAAGATGTACTGCTTTCTATACAGCAATTTCAAAAAGCGACTTTCTGTGTAACAATTTCATAACCGGCTTTACCGACAGCTGCAGCAGCCCCAAACGAACCCTTAGTCACGAGGAAAGATGTATTTCAAATGATATTTCCTCAATGTTCGGTGTTGTGAACATATCATGAACATTTTATGATTCAAAATGGATTAAAAAAGGTTCATGAAATAATTTATCATCTTAAGAAGTCAATAAATATCTCAAGAAATCACTAACAATACTACATAAGTTTGTGAAAGTCTCCTAGCAACTAAGCGTTTCCACATCATAGGGTTTTTCTATTGATATACAAACATAATAGAACTCAAATATTTAATGCTTGAATCTGCCTTTGTTTATCAGAATGTATTTAGTCAAATGCAGCTTGAGACAACAATTACAAGTGGTTTCCATCTGATTTTGATAAGGTAAAATATGAGAGCATTAGAAAGCTCTTTGCAGCTTTTAACAATTTAACAAAAATAATTTCTAATTCTTCCTATCCTACTAAAAATATTTTCCTCTCCACTGTTATGCATGTGAAGTTCTAAATGGAAGAATCAACTTCATCGGATGAGTAAATGAGTATGACTAGCATCATGAAAATAAAATTGTAAATGAGTATGACTAGCATCATGAAAATAAAATTTGATGAATACAATGATGAATGTAATGATCTTATGTCTATAACAACCATTTTGGATCCCCACTTGAAATTTAAGTTCATCAATCTCACATTTCCAAAGATACGCTCATCTTCTGAGCTAGAATCCAAAATTCAAATAGTTGAGGATGTTTTTTAGGAACTAAATAATCAATACATTACTGATGTTGCTAGTTCTAGCTCTATAGGTGTTGGACGCTCAGCTTCCATGTCATATGACAAAACTTTTTGACATAGCTTTGTTTCCATGCCTGGATTTGTTTATTTTCTCGGGTCATCAGGGTCCATTCAACCTTCCAATTTTGATTATCTATCTTGCAGATGGTTTGTATGTGCATGACAATGATCAATTTGATGCTCTTAGATGCTGTAAATTGAACAATCCGAAATATCCGTGCTTGTCTAAAATAGTTAAGGATGTTTTGATAACTTCAATAACAACGATTGCATCGAAATCTACATTTAGTGCTGGTGGTAGAACATTGGGTATGATCATGATTGCATCAAATTCCTATAGCTTCCAATCATACAAATCAATATAGAACTCTACAGCCCTCTAAATTAAGACAAAGTCAAAAGGCTCCAAAGATATTAAAACCTAGGTACATATTCTTGCAAAATGCTTTTAGAACCCAACTCCATGAAATCATGCATGACAATTAGAGTCCCAAGCTTCCTCGTAGATTGCAAATCTTCAAGAACATCCAAACTAAGGCTAACATTTGGAAATTTGATCTCAAACAACAAAAACTTCAATCTTCCTTGGATTGAGGTGAAATCCGACATCCACACTCCACAGACTAGCATGCCAAATCGAGAGTATATCCTTAGTAAAGGCAAACATAAAGAGGCAAAAACCCTATCAATTGTTGGGACATCCACTCTATACTTAATCTTCCATAACCTCCTCGTTGTAAAAACAAATGCCCCATAATATGGGTTATGGTCATGCATTGTCCAATCAAGCAAGATTTATGGTTTTCATCACCTTCATGAAGTTTAGTAGTGCCATGTAGTATCCCCCCTTTCGATGGAAAAATTCAGTTTAACAAACACCTATGAATCCTTACAAACCATCTCCAAATGTGAATAATAGGGGAAACTTGCAAACTATTGACGGGAAGAGGTCAAGATCGAGGCGGCTATCTACAAGAAATTTGTTAGGGACTGAAATTGTAGTGACACTTAGGACTCTATTATAAGTTGTGCACGGTCACATGAGAGTGATGCCTCAAAGAGCAAACCAAACAACTTCCAAAAACATCTTCAATGAAAGTGAATAAACTACTGGCAGGCTTGAACCTAATATTATGGTGATTGATTGGGCAACTACTAAGTCCCGATGTCCCCACATTCATTTTAGAGAGAGATGAGACCGAGGGAAGTGTTAAACACTAAAAATGAGGAAATTGAAGAGCATCAAAGTAAGGAGAAGAATAATGGACAAGTTGGGAAACTAGCATTGCATAATGAATAGGAGATTCTATAACAATCTCAAAAGAGGTGGTACATGTTCAACAAATCATGGTAAGCTATCCAGGATAGTTTTAAGCTTTATATCATCCTGATTATCTTAGTAATGTAGCACGCTTATTGAAGATGCATAGGAAATTAAGAAGGCTGTATAATTGTGGATGAAAATGAAAATCTCACAAGCCCACTATTTTTTTTTCTTGAGAAGTTTAAAGAAAGAGGAATTCATTACATAGAATTAGACTAAAAAATTAATCATGGCCTCAATAAACCTCCATACATCATTTCTCCTAGCAAATAGAATAAACAATAGACGAAATTTTGATGGTTTCGCCTACCTTGGGGAGCTCATTATTCAAAAATAAATATTTTTATAAGTCAAATACCACTAATATGCTGTGCTGTCATATTCAGTCAGACGAGCAATGATGCCAAGTTTATACATGTTAGGCACCAAAAATGGCATTTGGATATGTAATAGGTCATGGAAGTATAATTTTATATTTGATTTCAAATTAAACCATGAAATAGAGAATCAAAATGAAAGAATGAATTATATTTTTACCTGTACAACATCTTCCCCTTTGATGACCCGCCCAAACACATTAAGCTTATCATTTAGGTTAGGAATTGGTGCAGTAGTAATAAAGATCTCAAATCCTTTGGCATTTGCTTTTGCTTTTGAAGTTCCAAGCATGAAAGCCTCGTGCTTTGGGCTGTTCAAGCCACATACATCATCAAAATTAATAGAAACAACTTAACGAAGTTTTTGTAAGGTCTGAAGAAGTAAATTGGCATAATGCATTCATCTTTCTTTGAAATTATGAAAGAAGAAAATATGGAATGAAAATATACTAGGAATGCATACAATGCATCAAACCTTGTCTCAAGCTGACCATCGGATTTTCTATGGAGAGTCCATTCTTCAGCAGCTCCAAGGTTGTGAGGGTCTCCACCTTGAATGACAAAGTGCTTTATCACACGATGAAAACGCATTCCTTTGAAGTATCCTTTTTGACTGTATATATAAACAGTTGTACCAGTAACATTCAAGATGATAATAAAGTAGACTTGCACAGGGATGAAAAAAAATAGCACTTGCAGTTACAAAAAGAGATCAAATAATGATTTTGGCATACCATAAATCAAGGAATTTGTCCACAACCTCAGGGGAGGAATCCTTATGAAGTTCAACAGTGATTGAACCTTTGGATGTTTCCATGACCTACAGAAAACAGTAAAAATTTTAAAAAAGAAAGTATGATAAATTCATAGCTATTTATTTGCCTACCTCAAAGGGTATATATAATTACACAAGAAAATCCAGATATCACATAATCTTAGCATAAAAAATAAAATTAAAAAATGTCACAATTTGCTAATAAATAGTGGACAAATGCATCAAGAACCATGACATGGTTAGTGTTGGCTGTAGCTGCGATCAATAAAAGGAAGAGACTTCCCCAACAGACCGAATGAATATCCAACTCAAAAACAAAATAAACATATAAATTGCGAAAAATTAACTGATTTCAATATGCCCACTTCAAAGTGATCTTTGATTTTTATTTTATTTTTTTAGGTGCTAAAGTAAGAAAAAACACTTTACAATCAACAGATACCCCCAAGGCTGGAAAGCAATGAATGAGGTGGATTAGATTTGCAAGTAGAACAACCAAATTCATGAGAAAGCACAGGAATTTGATATACCAAGGTAAAAACAAAATGTAGCCTTAACAGGATACAAAATTAACAGAACGGAATAAACCTCAAAGCATCAGTTGGGGCAGGGAACTTACAGCATAGCCAGGTAGATCAAATTTCTTCCGCTCCCCAGTATCATTGGAATGCTTTAACCACAAAAAAAGGGCACCACAAAAATTAATAATATAGTGACTCTTATAAGAAAATAAAATTAGTAGAAACAGAAAAGGAAAATTCAAGTGATGACATGCTAAGCAAATGCTACATGACACTGCATGTGGTCACGATCTCAAGTCTCAACAAACAGAACAAACAACCAATATGAAACAAATCAATACAGATTGAAAAAGGTAACAGTAAAAATGACTGTACCTCAGAATTTATTAATTCAGTATCAAGTTTGTTGATTGACCTGCAAGGATGTTTAAAGTTGCAAAACAGGAAATCCACTATCAATTTAATATACCAACACAAAAACATGCCTTGAATATAAGTGACTGCAGAGATTAGCACTGATCCAAGCATCTTATCTGATTGTTTTTGACTAAGAAGAAACTTAAAAAGAAAGAAATGAAAAGCTGACCTTTTATACCAGTGATTGTAGGTTGCATACAAGGATAATACAACCAAGATGACTAAAAGATTGCATGTAATGATCGTTGTGAGACTGACTCGAGTTGGAGCCTTTTTCTTTTTGCTCTGAATAAGTAATGCTTGAGGCTTGATTCTTGCCATAAGTTTCTTCTGAAGCAAGGAAAAATCAACAATTGTTACTTCCAAGCAACTGGCAAAATAAAATTGCTTCAAGTCTAGTTACATTTTGGGGTACCTATGTAACATTATAAAAATATTATCAGAAAGATGCTTTAATATGAGAAAGATTGTCAAGAAGCAGAGAAAGTGGGTTAGGACAAAAATAAAAGCAAACATACATTGTTCTATTGATCTAAGGATTAGATCAAACGAATAATCAATTAGATCATCCATGATAGCAATTTCGATATCATGTTGTGAAGAGATAGAAGGAATCATGATTGTTAATATTTTGACTATCTAATCACTTGAGTCTTGGAGACTACCAATAGTGTTGATTTTGTTGAGACAGGAGATCAAGTCAACCGGAGACCATGGATAAAGATGGATCCCCAATTGGACTCCTGCTTATAAAGATCAAACGGAATGAAGTTTAGATCAATGAATGGCAATCCTGAGGACAACAAAATAAGCATGGGCAGTCAATCTAGAAATCAAGATATAGTCAGCCAACCTAGGATTGGGATGAATTTTAAATTTTAAACTTGTTTTGAATAATTTTATATTTTGAATTTCACAATTATGTATTCCCTCTTTGGTGGAGTTAGTTTACGATAAAATAAAAACTTTCGAATTAATTCATGAAGCATTCACGTATAAATAAGTCTATTTCCTTCAATAGATTAATTCCAATCTCTCTCAAATCCTTCTGTATCTTCTCTCCCTCTGCCATAAGGCTCTAGCCCTTATAAGGACAAACAAGCAGCCGGTTTCCTTCTCAGAGCAGTGGAAACCAGCTGCTCAAGCCCTCCAGCAGTTGCTGGAAATCTCCCCAGCGTCCTGCCACTGACAACCTGTTGCTGCAGATTCCTGCAGAAACAGAAAACAAGAAATTCTGTGCCCGTTTACAGCAATTCAGAGTACAATTTGGCCCACTTTGCTAAAAAAAAAATCGAGATAGCTATTTTCAGCAAGCCAGACGAGGCTTTCAGCAATTAGATGCTCTGCCCAATGAGGAAGACTCAAAAAATTAAATGAAAGTATGAAACTCATTTTACACACTAAGAAAGAGACAAAACAGAGAGAGACATCTACAACAATAAACAAAACCCCAGAAACATTTATTTTGATCAATAGATCATTAGGACTCCTCCAAATCAATATATATTTCATATCCGTGTTAGCCTCTTATTGTGGACTCACGTTATATTATTTAGAAGCTACCATTGAATCAAGTTCGCATCAGAGCACCATTCCTTGGTGCGTTGCACAAAAGAAAAAGGTACTATCACAATACTGGAGAACCAGTTATTTCCTTAGATACACAAAGAAAGCCAAGAATCAAATGAGAGGATGAACTCCTCCAAAGAAAGCGAAATAAAACTTATAGATTGTCTGACTGAGAAAATGGCTAACATGATTGAGTGGAAAGATGCAATCTTTCACACTTTCAACAAATTTTAATGACTTAAGCAACATACCCTATTCTTCGCACTTATTTGAAACAGTAATGTTCACTAGACATATGCTGCTGGCATGGGAGATCATGAGGATGAGGTTGTGGTGATCACTAATGGAAATAAGGGGAGAACAAGACCAATCATAGGTGGAAATCTACAAATATGATGGGAAAATAGATGCAGAAACATTACGCATGTGGATTGGCCAACTAAAAATTATATTTTAACTTAGATTGTAATGGCACTAATAACAAGGTGGCCTTTGCCCAACCGAAACTTTGCCATGATGCTTGGATGCGATGGAATGCATACTTCAGAGAAATTTGTTATCAAGAAGTAACTTGGGCATGAATTTTATCTTATCTTGCAGATTAAATGAAAGATTGGTGGAAGAAATGTCACAGTTTGAGCCAATACCAAGGACAACCATGCAAGATTACACAATGCAGTTTAGAAGTCAGAAAATGGCTTTTGGATTAAATTTTGGAGATATACAAACGTTGATGCAGTACACCTCAAGGCTTTACTCTCACATTGCAAATGATCTCTGCCTCCTTGCGATCTCAAATCCTAGCCAGGCCAATATGATAGTAATGGCCATAAAATAAAAGAACCAAGGCGGGGAAGAGAAGACCCAAATACATCAAAATAAGGGTCCTTCCTCTTTCTCAAAAAAAGTAAAGGGGGAAAAGACAAGTAATACTCCGGTACTTATCTCGTCTCCTAAAAACATTGCCAATGGTAAGTTTTGTGACCATTATTAAAAAATTGGCCACACCAAAGAAATGTTGAAAGCTGCACCTCAAACTCTTCCATGAAAAATGGAAGAAGGATGGGAATGGAGAATCTAAACTTGTTGTGGAGACTAAAAAATGTATTGATTACAATTGATAAAGTGAACCAATCTGGTGGGGGCAAGAAATATAGGGATGCCTATATCCCTTGCCCGCACGAGTGATAATACTAAACGACGACCCACTAATTCACGAAAGTTAGAGAGGCGACTAAAGATGAGGAAGGGGAAGAACAAACTCTTACAATAAAACTAAAAAGAAGAAATTACAAAACACAAAATTTCAAGGACTTACAAACCTTGACTCATAAACCTAGGACACCCTAAAGTTGCTGCACTTGGAAAAAAGATACAGGTGGAGTGGCACTTGCAGAGAGACGAAGAGATTAGAAGCCAAGAAGAAGGGTGGAAAGAGCCCGCAGGATTTCCGGAGGGGATGAGAAAGAAGACGGACAAAGCTCGCAAGCTTATCCAAGCAAACCCGCAGGTTATAGCTTTTTCAAAAATAACATATCATTCACTATTTAAAACAATACAATACCCCCCATATATATAGGTATGAAAGGGGAATACAAAGAGACTCCTAATAAATTCCATAGGAATTCTAAAAGACTTAGCATTAAACCCAAATGCTTTTTATAAAAAAAACAGCCCAAGCCAAAGAACCGAAGAGTCAACCACGGGAGCCAAGGAGACCGCCCGGAACCAAGGCGCCACAGCCACGGGAAAGAGCCCAGGCGCGGAAAACCAGCGGCCGGCCGGAAATCCAAGAGGCAAGGCACGGAAAACAGCAGCCCAAGGGAGGAAGCCAAGGAGCCGCCGCATGGGAAAAGACATTTCTTGGAATTCCAAAAAACTGGTTTGGAATTCCAAGAGACCTACATAATTAAAAACATAAAAAGAATAAAAAGTACATTTAATATAAGATAAATATGAACTAAAATCATAGCTAATAATGAGCTAACCCTTAATTCAATAAATGAACTAAAGACTAGCTCATAAATGAGCAAAAATTTCAGCTCAAAATGATTGAGCTTGTAAACTCGAGGTAGGCCAAAATTGATTTATTTTGGACCTGAGTTGACCCCCCCTTTGTCTACATCAGATTCTCCCCTTCTTGAAGAACTCATCTCCCGATGAGTTAGCTTTGGGTTCTCTTGAGGAGGTGCATACTGATCCTCCAGCTCTTTGAGTTTCTCACCAAACTTGTTCAAAATTTCTTCATATTCCTTCTCGAATTGTTGTTGTAGATATCTTTTCCACTTCTCGAATTTTTGATCACATAGGAACATGTGATACTAAAGCTTGTATAGTCGATCTTGAAGCGGATCCGTTGAATCACCTTCTGTAGGAATCCATCTGTCCAACAGGAGTGGGACATCAGGATTGTCATGATTGATCTCCTCCATGAATGAAGCCATTTTTTTGTTATTTTCCATTTTTTAAACTGACTCAAAAAAGACTCAAAAAACTCAATCTAAATTTAGACTCACAATTCTTGCAAGATTCACAATAAGATTTGACTCGACAAAACAAAACTTGACAAACTAAAACAAAACTTGACAACTCAATTTGACTACCAAACCCTAGGACTTCCTAACTTGCTCTGGTACTAAATTAGTGGGGGCAAGAAATATAGGGATGCCTATACCCCTCGCCCGCACAAGTGATAATACTGAACGACGACCCACTAATTCACGAAAGTTAGAGAAGTGACTAAAGATGAGCAAGGGGAAGAGCAAACTCTTACAATAAAACTAAAAAGAAGAAATTATAAAACACAAAATTTCAAGGACTTACAAACCTTGACTCATAAAACTAGGACACCCTAAAGTTGCTGCACTTGGAAGAAAGATACAGGTGGAGTGGCACTTGCGGAGAGAGGAAGCCAAGGAGCCACCGCATGGGAAAAGACATTTCTTGGAATTCTAAAAAGCCGGTTTGGAATTCCAAGAGACCTACATAATTAAAAACATAAAAAGTACATTTAATATAAGATAAATATGAACTAAAATCATAGCTAATAATGAGTTAACCCTTAGTTCAATAAATGAACTAAAGACCATCTCATAAATGAGCTAAAATTTAGCTCAAAATGATTGAGCTTGTAAACTCGAGGGAGGCCAAAATTGATTTATTTTAGACCTGAGTTGACCCCCCTTTGTTTACATCACAATCTCTATCTCTAATGACAATGTTGAAGGAAATAAAAACAATAATGTCATGTAAAGTGGACATGAGAGAGATGTTGTTCACCTTGAGAATGCATTTCAAGTAGGAGGTGATCTAAGCCATCATCAACAGTTTAACAATGACAACACTGAAAGTCTAAGAAAAAAAATTATGCTAACCTAGTGCAACAATTGGGGTTAGACACCATACCCATCCAAGCCCTTATCCTTTGCTCTAAATTCAAAAAAAGGTTATATATGAAAATTGATATTCAGTGCCAACTCAAATGTACAATAAAAAAGATTGCAATAACAAGATATTACGCAATAAAGTTCCCCACGAAATATGTCAACTTGGGGGCATACGACTTCATGAAATGTAGTGATATACCGATGAACTTACTAGTGCTAGTTCACTAAAGATGGAAGAACCTTCTCGTAGAAGGACTACAGCATTCCCTTGGTGGGCATGAAAACAAATAGCTAAGCAAGTAAGTCATTAATGTTGACCAGACGTTCATGTTGTTGCTTGTCCACATAGTAGAAGGAAAAAGGATAAGCCTTGCCTTCTCTGTTATGGGTATAAATGATGACATACAGATGCATAAGCAACACTCTAAAGATGTTCAAGCGCTACCACCAAAGCGGGCCATTAAACACAATTTCAACTTATCTCAAACCCAAATCTCTCGATGTGTTGAATTTTGATCATAAAAAATGAGATCTAAAAGCAAGGCACACAATTACTTATGAATAGAGTAATCCAGCTGAGCAATTATCTTTGTGGATCACCCATTATGATGATTCCTTAAAAAGATGGGATGTCGAGGCTCTGTGATGGCTATTGTGCTCTCAACAAAATAATAATAATAAATCATGAGCCTTTGCCTCATATTGACAACTTGCTAGATCAATTGAAACTTTCCACCATCTTCGCTAAACTGGACATCAACTATGGCTATCAAAATGTAAAGATCAATGATCAAGACACTTGGAAAATGTTCAAAATGACATAAGATTGTATGTGTTGAATCCAAATTTGTACGTGGATGATACTGAACCGTACTATCAACTCAACCTGTTGAGCTGGAACCTATGAGTCATTATGGAGGGTGTACACACACAGAGAAAGAGTAGGAGTCAGAGGCTAGCAAAGTATCTACTTATAGAGAAATTTTTGGGATTCAAGAGTCAAAAAGTTCGTCCAACTATTACTCATCACTCCTTATTTATAAGGTTTTGAGGGCTGCAGAAAATGTTATATAGAAAAAAAAGTCAAGAAACACAACCTAGACAGAATGCCCATACAACGCGACTCACTAATCTAACATGTACTGCCTCCTGATAGGTTGGAAAGGAAGAAGTCAACAAATGAACTCTCTATGCACAAGCATGATAACGGCAAGCTCTCTATGAGTGATCTCAGTGGTGGTGAGGTCTCTTTGGGTGAGCTTGATGGTGGCAAGTAGGCTCCAAGTGAGTCTACGAATGAGCCCATGTGAATAATTGGTGGTGATTGAAGTTTGGTATTGGGGATATTTGACTGCCGAAATGAGGAAGGTGAGTGAGATGTTGCGGAAATGAAGAGCTATAGGACGGATGATTATAGCTAGTATTAGAGGTGAATTCAATAGACAATTTCCTATAACTAAATTGAATGTATTGGAATGTTCTAGGGGAGAGCAAGTAAAAGGAGTAGCGGAGAATATTGGTTAGACAAGAGATCCCTGATTTACCTCGTGATGGAATGGCTCCTTAGTAGGCCCAGGCGAGTAGAGCATGATGATTCCCTCAAGTGGATTCCTCCATTGGTTCCAGGTGAATTCTTAAAAGGAACATCCCTCGAGGGCATGTGTATTAAAAGTGTTAAGATTTTAATGTTAGATTGCATATTTTTATCTTCTTAATGTTATTTGCTTTCATTTAAATATATTTTAGTTGTATGAAAATTGACTATTTATTGGACTTGAAATTGTTAAAGACAGGTTGAAGGATAATCTCATTGGAATTTATTGTATTAAGGCATATATTTGATGGAGAACATGAAAGTTGAAGTGACTTTTTTTAGTAATGGACTTGATATGATTGTGACTGAAGTGATATCTTGATTGGATGTGATAATTTTCTTAGCATGTTAGTTAACTAGTAGATAGTTTTTAGAATGTAGAAGGATATGTTAGGATAGACAAACATTCCACAAAGTATAATTGGGTTATCTGTTAAATAAATTGCTTGGGTGATTGCTTGAGTAAATTGCTTGGATTGTTATTTATTTGTATTGTCATTGTTTTCTTGTTAGTATGATAGTTTATCTTTCAGTTTAATGATATTTCATATTCATGTTTATTATTTTATAATTTGTGTCATGTTCAAAATGGCGCATCGTGCCGTGCGCTAGGTGTCATGGCTCCAATGGAACCTTTGCGCCATGGTGCACTATTCGCTGTTAACAAGTATGGTAGAAAGAAAATTTTCTCGAACAAATCCTAAGTCTTTAGCATCGACTATTTGAGCAAAATCTTGGCCTTTGATAATTCATGGGATGAGCATTTGGATAACATTAGGAAGGTAATCAAACTATTGCAACTACATCAACTCCACCTAACTAGAAGTGTGAGTTTGCAAGTAAGGGGCTGTTTGGTTGCCTGAAAAGAAAATGCAGTGTAAAGTAAATGTTGTGTATTCTGAATACTTTGAGACTGTTTGGTTGTCTGCAAAATAAACGCAGGAGAATTATTTCCCTTGTTTGATTAGGTAGATTTAGAGTAAAGTAAAAGTGATTTTTTGTCATAATTAATTTTGGCATTACAACTAGTGTATTTATAAAAGCTGCGTATTAATAATAATTAGTATTATTTGGTGTTATAAAATAAAATCAGTATATTAATAATATATCCATCTATTTCACTGTCACTCTGGACAATATACCCGACCCGAAGAAGCAATTTTGACACCCCTAACCCCACCCCACGCCACCCAACTCCACTCAAATAGAGAAGCCACCACACGATGCTAGATATTGAAAGGTTGGGTTTGAAGTCCACTAGCTAGTTGCGGCATCAACTCTAACCAGATATTTAAAGTTTAAGCTAGGAGATGCTCTGGCGACCTCAAACATATCTTGAAAATAATGGACACAAACCTACAAAATCAGTAAGTGGTGCCTTTTTCTTTAATTGAAAACAACAGAAACATCCCAACAAAGGAATGAAATAGCTACAATTTATTTTTTCCTAACTAAAAATCTTAACTAAATCATGCATCATAATTTAATCCAAGCATCAATGTTTTACACAAGAAAAAAGAACCAAAGCTCCCACTTCCAACAAATTTTGCATCAATGCTCATTAAAAAGCATATACACTGCTAAGCAAAGCTACTGAGCAGTATAGGGCTAATATACTGGCATAATTAGCTTCAAATTTACATTAGATTAATAATAAACAGGATTTGTGAAGTAAAATTTTGTTATTAGTAACTATTTTATACAAGCTTTAGTTGTAATAAACTCCATAAGGGGAAGCATTACTCAAAATTAAAGGGAAAATAATTATAACAGAGGGTTCATCCAAGCATTGTTTGCACAGGTAAAAACTTAATATCATCATGCTTGGTTACAGTGAACATAAATTTTAGAGAACTTGGATATCAACAAGTAAACAATAGTCAAGCTTAGTATACAAAGGTTATTCAGGGCAGGTAGAATAGCCGGTCCAAACAAACATACCGATTCATGATCCAATTGTAGTTAAGCACTCCAGTGAACACTGACTAGTTGAATTTATTTGCAAAATAACTTATATCATCTTCAAAAAGCCAAGAAGGTAAGATTATTTCTTCATTAGGGGATCCTCCAAATCCCTTGCCTTTGGGATTTGGTTTGTATGACATCTAAGAGAGAGAATCCCTTGAGATGGGTCTCATGAATTGGAATTCATAATACAAAAAAGGGATAGATGCGGGATAAAAAATAGAGATGAGATAGAAAATAGGAAAAAGATGAATATTTATTCAAATTCAACTTATACCCCTTATTTATAGAAATAAGATAATAAGATAAAATCAACCTATTGAAAATTTCAAATCTAAATATTTACAATCAAGAGCAACTAATGACTTCTCAGGATAAAATTGTCCAACTTCTAAGAAGTTCTAAATGATGCATTAAGAAATTGTGCTACCCACTGTCTGATTCTAAAGGGGAATGAGGAGTTTATTCTGAATGATGAGGTAAATAAACGGGTATCTAACCTAACTATGTACACAAAATTGTTTTCAAGAAAACTCCTAACTGAGATTATGGCAATTTTTGCAGCATCTTAGTAACCAACAATTTTTCAACTTTTTTTTTTATTTTTTTTTAACAGTTTTTCAACATAGCTGCACTTCAAGTCACATATTCTTCATTAATTTTTCTGTAAAGTTCACATGAATTTTTTCCTGATGTGTGTGAAATGGACATCAAAGCACCACAATAAAAATATAGAAATCAAAACCCTAACCAATTCACAAGGCAAGACATGCAAATTGCGGGGGAAAATCCATATTTTGCACTTAAAAACAAGATGAAAATCCATAAACCCTACATAAAACTGTGAAGCCTATGGGGCTGTTTGGTAGCGGGTCTTAAGTAGGATTTACGTTGGATTTATGCTAAATCCTGCCAACGGAAAAAATGGCCGCGGTAAATCCGCACCGTCGTAATCCGAATTAACCGTTTTTTTTTCCGTAAAGCCCGGATTTACTAAATCCAGTAGTTCAGCACATTTAAGGGATTAACGAACTTCCGAATACTTTTCACGCAACAACTTTGTCGTGGAGAAAATGGTTACATTCGCAGCAAGCGAGCTCGCGTCGTTACTTCCAATCCGACGTCGTCGAAGGAAGCGAAGAAGCCTCTTTAGCAACTATTTTAAAACACCACTCCACGAGATGCATGCGAGCCTTCGAAACCCTACTTTGCCCACCCGAAGCGTAGCAGCAACTAAGGGGGTGTTTGGTATCGGATTTATTTCGAGTTTTTAGTAGGATTTACGGTAAATCCAGCCAAACGCAAAAAATGGCGCCGTAAATCCGGCAAATCCGTAAATCCCGGATTTGCTAAATCCGGGTTAAATCCAAATGCCGCTAGAAGTTCGGATTTACGGGATTTTGGCCGAAAGAAGCGCGCGAAAAGGGAGAAAGTCCTCCACAGCGAGCGAGAGGGAGCTCCCTCGTTGCTTCAGATCAAATAATGTTGTAACGTTCCGATCCGACAGAACGGTAACGTTTCGTCGAAGGAGTCGAAGTCGAACAACAACGGACTCGAAGTCGAACAGGAACGAAGGAGCCGAGAGAAGCGACTCGCAGAGTCGAACAGCAACGAAGGAGCGAAGAAGGACTCGCGCACAATCCTCAACAACTCCTTCGAAGCAACAAAAGGAGCCCAACAGCGACCCTTCGTGCAGTTCTCAAACACCTCCTGTGAAGCAACGAAGGCCGAACAGGAGTATCGGACGAATAAGAGACAGATTAATAAGCAAACCCTAGGACGCTTTCATTACTGGTTAATTTAATTAATCATAAGTTTAAAATAGTGGATTTTTCACTACATAACACCGCTGAAACTCTTAAAATATCTATTCAACACCTAAAATTCATATTTACTAATATACCACTTTAAAATAACGTTTATCACGGCCGTTTGGGTTCCGTGTTAAAAAGCACCTTAACCTCGCTTCTCTTCTATTCGCGTGAAACCCTTCCCTTCTCCGCGTTTTACCTTCGTCTTCCCCTCGTCCGAATCCAACCCCCTTGCATTTGCTGTCGCGTTTGAAGGTTTCACACGAAGGCGCATCTCCTGGTCGCTTCTTCTCGGTCACGTTCGAAGAGAAGATCGGCAAGGTTTGAAGATCGTATTTTATATTTCGTGAATGTGTGTTGTTCGAGATCGAAGGATGATTCTAAATTTTTTTCACCATATGAATGTATTTGTTTGTTGTTTTATTGTTCTTCTCAATCTGTCAAACTTCTCGGCATCTTTCGACCATGCGTTAAAGGATTCCGACATACATTATTCGTAGTTGTAGTGGTTTTTAAATTGTGCAATATAGAGATTAGACCACTTGCATCGACAATAACATTCATTAAGAGTACATCTTGCGGACTCATTTTTTAAGATCTCTCCTTTTCTTATGGCAAAGTCTGTAGCTTGTAACTTTTGCAAGCTGTCCCAAACCAAATTTTGGAGCTTGTTCCTATGATTTTAACAGGAATTTAGTAAATTCCCTACTTTAAATTGAATCCATCCTATATCCACACCCATAGAGAAATAGTCGCGAGGAGAAGCAACTGCAACAAGAACACAAAGAAATGAAGAGTTGAAAAAGAAAACCTAGATGGCCTACGATTTAACATTAAAAATTAATTTAATTTAGCTTAATTAATATAATATAAAACATTAGTAATTAATTAGATAATTAATTATATAATTAAAAATTAAATTTTATTAAAAATACTTAAATAATTAATTAATTAATTAGCAATGTAATTAGTAATCAAATATTTAATATTATAATTAACAATTAACAAGATGTTTGTGAAATAATAGTTAATTAGAAGTAATATAATGCTTAACTAATTAATCAGATAACTATTTGTGTACTTAATAATTAAAATTAAAATTAATAAATAACTATTATTTAAATTACAATTTAAATTTAAATTTTGAATAAACTAAGTAAAGACTTTAAATTTTGAATTACATTGTCAGATAAATATACAAAATTTAACAAATTTCTTGCCAAATAATTTTAATGATTTAAAACACTCAAAATTTATAAATCTGAATTTGTAGGATATATGAAATCTTACTTTTGCCAAATTGCCCCTTATAGTTTTGAAATATAAGGGATATGGCGGGGACAAGTATTCGAGAAACTCGCGGCCCACATCGGCTGAAGATCGAAGAGCTTGCGCTGGAGAGAAATCAGGAAGCTCTGGCCGACAATAAATGAGAAAGCTGAGGAAGAAAAGGAATCAAAGAGCAAGCAAGACGCAGGTGACGGATCTCGCTGTTAGATCTAGAGTCGGTGACGGAAGTCGCGGCTATGAACGAGAGACCTGACGTTGGTGACGCTTGCTACGAGATTGCGTCGACGAGCCGCTAACGAATGGCTTGCACAACAGAGTCAATACAAATACGCAAAGACCAGCGAGTCACCAAAGAGAAATCTCGCCTGCAACTTTCGCAAGGCAACTTCCGCAAGCCCTAATACAATACACTCAAATGGCTGGCGGAAGCCCGGCAAGCTGGACAACCCAGTCAAAATACGATACAAACTTGACCACTACAAGATATAACCTCGCTGCGTGGAGTACGCATAAATTCAGCTTCAGTCAGGTGTGAAATTTCATAGTATACTGGTGACTAGTGAGTTATCATGATCATTAGGTCAGTGAATTTTTTAATTTATTTTAACTGAAATATATTATATTTATCAGCATATAATGAAAATTTATTGAGATAAAATTTTGAGTAGAAAATCCTAATGGTAAATTTCTGCAATGATTGGATAGACTATTCCCTTTCTTTTTTTTCTTAGTACTTTTTTTCTTAAGAATTAGTACATGGTTTTCAGCTTCAATTCAGAGTATTACAGAACCATAGAAGGTTAAGTCTCCATACTCTTTGAGTGGTTGTCGCTTTTAGCCATGAAAGAATTACAGTTCTTACCAAATTAGTGAGTGCCAAACACCCAAGGGGACATATGAAATCAGCAAATGCCTTATAATTTGCAGTCCTTTGTTACATTCATAAGTAATAAGTCTTTATCAGAAATTTCATCCGATCGAGTATGACTCTTGAAGCAAATTTGCATTTGCAAGATCACCCAAACATTTAAATTAGAAGTTTATGGAATTAATCCAAAATAGTTCAAATTCTTTTTTCATCAAACTTATAATTGAAATGAGCCTAGCTCGGTTATATAAAATATGCTTTTGTTTGAATTCAAATGAGCCTAAATAAAACACTCAATAACTTAGCAGGAAAAATACCTCCGAATTTTACTTGTTTATGATTGAAACGATTATCGTGATGAGATAAATCTAACACGTTAAGATTGTTAAATTATGATATCATTACGATAATAAGGTGCCTAAGAAATATTATTTGATTTAGGAGATTAACATAGACTGTTCGATGAAATGTCCAAATTTCTAGATAAAATGATTAGAGTATTCTCTTCATAAATCTATATTTTTTTAAACAAGGAGGAAGGCTCGTAGGAAAACCCAAAAATGGTTCTAAATGCATAAGTCCAGAGCTCTACCTGTCTGAACCTGATGATTGTCATCAATACAAGCAACAACATCCACATCTCGAACATGGTTGACATCTACCATCGATGCCAGTGTCGATATCCACCGTTTTTCACCAATGCAAATGCATATCATTATTAAGAACTGTAACATCTATCATCACAAACATGAATGATGCCCATTACCTAAGCTAACGCAGATGTCCACCATCACCAACAAGACTAACGTTTATCATCTTTAATAGCCCTAAAACCCTCCGGCATAACTAAAGTTAATTCCTTTCATAAACACTATTGTTAATGACCACAATAGAAAATAAGGCCACCAATCGTTGTTAGTGCCTATGATTGACACCTAAATTAAAAACAAGGCCAACAACCAACTTTGACGTCAAAGTCAATGTCACCGTCGCCAATAAGGTTAAAGTTGATTGTTGACACAATGCCTGCTCAACCCAACAATACTGACACATATTATTGTCATTAATTAAGTTTAACGTCTGCTGGCCTTCAACACTTAAATCGATGTCAACCTTCCTAATCTTCAATCATCCCTCCTATATGGAGAACAATCAAGTAGATCATTGATTATCTTTTGATGATAACTCTGATGTCTCAATACTCTTGCCTAACCCATCGCTCGTTAAGTTTGATGCTCACCTTTCAAGTCATCTGTCACCCCTCCTATAAATTGAATGACAGAGCAAATTATTTATCGTTATTTCATGAAAACTCTTAATTTTCAGAGTTCTTTCTACTTCCTCAGACTAAGTTATATTTTACAATCCGTGTCTAGTAATAAAAAACAAAAAAAAAAAGAAAAAGATTTACCAGTGTTTCTTTAAAACACATTTATGATTTTTTTGATTTGCTAATCAAACAAGTTTGAATATTTTTATAAATGTTTAACTAATAAATGAACAAACTTGAATAACTCAGGGTTGATTTAATTATGTTTTTGAACACTTTCATATAAATTAAGCTCGTAAACAAACTTTTTAAGAAGCTTGACTAAGCTTGATAAAAAAAACTCATGTATGACTTCATAAAATGCTTATTTAAGATATGATCATATACTCGTTTAAGACTTAATAAGAAAATTATTTAATACTTTAGATATTTACTCATAAATTTTCAATTATTTATAAAATCTGAATTAGTATCAATTAAATAAAATATCAAAAAATTATTTAAATGCAACATCACCTCTCATAAAATAAAAGTTTAAAACCCATAAGAACTAAAATGATTTAGGCTTCTTTTGGGATGACTTTTTTACTGCTTCTTAAAGCATCTTTCTAGTACAAATTTTTGTATAAAAAATTGCTTTAAGAAACAGTAAGAAAGTTGTCCCAAACGAAGTCTTAATCATGAAGGTGCATGGCCGAAATAGCGAACCACATACAGTTAAATAAAAATGGCAATGAAACCTTAAGCTCAAAAATTGAATAACTAATCACTCTTGAATCCCTAAAGCTTTCGCAAGTGCCGCACTTACAGTAGTACTGATCCCTCTCACCCTTCTATTTCGTAGCTTCCAATGCTCTCACACTCCCACAACTCATGTTGCTCACCCAATCTCATTGCTCCCATTCTATCCCGTTCGTCTCCCTCTCTTGCAACTCTCGACGCTCTCATTGGTCAAATCCCGTAGGAACGATACATAAATGTTGCTTTCTTATTGAA